GCTAAACAACTTGCTCATAAATAATCAACGAGTTAAGGAGGAAATTTAAAAAAATATCTTCAGATAAATGAAAATGGAAACACAATGACCCAAAATCTACGGAACACAGAAAAAGCAGTTCTGAGAGGGAAATTCATAGCAATTCAAGTCTACCCAAAGAAACAAAATATATCTCAAATAAACAGTCTTACCTTATACCAACAGTAATTAGAAAAAGAACAAACACAGCCCAAAGTTAGTAGAAGGAAGAAAATTAAAAAAAGATCAGAGTGGAAATAAATAAAATAGTAAAAATTAATAGAAAAGATCAATGAAACTAAGAGTTTGTAGTTTTAAATAAAGATAAAATTTATAAAACTTTAGCTAGACTCATCAAAATAAAAGGAACAAAATAAAATCAGAAATTACAACTCAAAACCAGAAATATAAAGGATCATAAGTGACTACTATGAACTATACACCAATAAATAGAAGAAACAGATAAATTACAAGAAACATACAATTTTCCAAGTCTGACTCAGGAAGAAACAAAAATCTGAGCAGACCAATTAGTAGTAACAAAATTGAATCAGTAATCAAAAAACGTCCAACAAACCAAAGTCCAGGACCAGATAGCTTCACAGGAGAATTACAGCAAGTACTTAAATAAAATTAATACCTACCCTTCTCGAAACATTCTAGATAATTAAAGAGGGAGGAATACTTCCAAACTCATTCTATGAAGACAGCATTACCCTGATATCAATACAAGACAAAGACTACAAAATATATTACAGGCCAATATCCCTGATGAACATAGATGTAAACATTCTCACACATTAGCAAATCAAATTCAACAACATATTAAAAGGATCATACACTATGATCAAATGGGATTTATTCCAGAAATGTGAGAATGGTTCAATAGCTGCATGCAAATCATATCTGCATACTAACCAATGTAATACAACAATACATTAACAAAAAAAGGACAAAAAACATGATTATTTTAACAAGCAAAAAAACACATTTGACAACATTCAACATCTATTTATGATTAAAACTCTCAACAAAATGGAAATGGAGGGAACATATCTCAACATAATAAAGATCATATATGATAAACTCACAGGTAGAATAACCTCAATGGTAAAAAGCTAAAAGTTTTCCCCCTAAAATCAGGAATAAGATAAGAATGCCTATTCATATCACTTTTGTTCAACATACTACTGAAATTCCTAGTCACAGCAATCAGACAAGAAAGTAAAATAAAAGACACTCAAAGTGGAAAGGAAGAGGTAAAACGGTCACTATTCACAGATGACATGATTTATGTAGAAAACCCAAAGTGTCCACCAAAAAACTATCTCAGTAAATAAATTCAGTAAAGTTGCAGCATAAAACATTAATATACAGATATCAGTGGCATTTCTATACATCCATAATGTATAGAAAGAAAAATTAAGAAAACAAATCCCTTTACAATTGCATAAAAAAAAAAAAAGGCTTAGGAATAAATTTAACTAAGAAGGCAAAAGACCTAGACTCTGGAAACTGTAAGATGCTGAAGAAAGAAAATGAAGACAACACAAATGGTAGAATATACCATGCTTGTGGAATGGAAGAATTAATATCAAACATCCTTATTACCCAGCAATCTACAGATTCCATGAACAAATAACCCTAAAATTTATATGGAACCACAAAAGCAATCCTGATAAAGGACATAATTGGAGGTATCACTCTCCTGATTTCAAGCTGACTTCAGAACAGTATGCTACTGGCACAATGAAACAAAACAGAAAGCCCAGAAATTAACTCACACTTATAGGTAAACTAGAGGCCCGGTGCACAAAAATTTGTGCACTCGGGGGGCGGGGGGAGGGGGGTCCCCCAGCCCGGCCTGTGCCCTCTCGCAGTCTGGGACCCCTCGGGAGATAATGACCTGCTGGCTTAGGCCTGCTCCCGGGTGGCAGAGGGCAGGCCCAATCCCTAAGTGCAGCCCCTGGTCAGGCTCAGACCAGGGCTGATTGGGGAGTTGGGGCGCCGCCCCCTGTCATGCACAGAGCAGGGCGGATCAGGGGGTTGGGGCGCTGCACCCTGTCACACTCAGGGCAGGGCCAATGGGGAGGTTATGGCTCTACCCTGTCACACATAGAGCAAGGCCCGTGGAGGGGGGTTGGGGCGCCATCCTCTATCACCCACAGAGCAGGGCCGATCAGGGGGATGGGGCGCCACCGCTGTCACACTCGGGGCAGGGCCGATGGAGAGGTTATGGCTCTACCATGTCACACACAGAGCAGGGCCCGTGGGGGCGGGCGGGGGGTTGGGGCGCCGCACCCTGTCAAACACAGAGCCCCAGGGCAAATCAGGGGATTGGGGAGCTCCCCCCTATCAGGCACAGAACAGGGCTGATCAGGGGGTTGGGGCGCCTTTCCCTGTCACAAACAGAGCAGGGCGGATAGGGAGGTTGTGGCCCCGCCCCCTGTCACACACAGAGCTGCAGGGCGATCAGGGGGTTTGGGCGCTGCCCCCTGTCACGCTGATCCCGGTGCCGGGAGGCATATTACCCTTTTACTATATAGAATAGAGGTCTGGTGCACAGGTGGGGGCCGGCTGGTTTGCCCTGAAGGGTGTCCTGGATCAGGGTGGGGGTCCCCACTGGGGTGCCTGGCCAGTCTGGGTGAGGGGCTGAGGGCTGTTTTCTGGGTGGCGAGTGACTGGAGCTCCCAACTGCTCCTTGTTTTCTTTTTTTTATTTTTTTTATTCTGGGCCAGCTTTAGCGCTGAGGTCTCGCTGCTGAAAACATTGATACAAAGTTTCGGTCCGGCTGGGTTTCAGTCCGGCTGGTTTCTGGGGTTTTGTATACCTTCTTATTTGCAACATAGTACATAGTTGCTTAGAGTTGCAACTGAGAGGCCGGCAAGTGAGGCGGGGAACGTTGGAGTCTGCAGCAAGCAAGCCTCATGCCTGGCTGCCGGCCGCCATCTTGGCTGACAGTTAATTTGCATATACTCACTGATTAGCCAATGAAAAGGGTAGCGGTCGTACGCTAATTACCATGTTTCTCTTTTATTAGTGTAGATTAGTACAACACAAAAGGCAGCATTATACAGTTGGGAAAAGACAGTCTCTTGAATAAATGGTGTTGGCGAAACTGTACAGATTCATGTAAAAAAAAAGCTGGACCATTTTCTTATACTATGTACAATAATAAACTCAAAATAAAGACTTAAAGGTAATATGTGAAACCATTAAACTCCTAGAAGAAAACATAGGTAGTAAACTCTTTGAGAAGGGAGGAAGAGGTAGGAGAACTCTTGCTAGAGTTTCCCACATTATCCTCCATCATAACTACCACCACCACCATCACCATCACCATCTTGATAGTCCCTAGCACTATCATCATCATGATAGTCCCTAGCATTTGGCAAGTAAAGTGAGGAAGATATAATAGGGGCAACGCCCACAATGTTTACATCTTTTGGTTGAGTCCCACAGGCTCCCTTATCTAGCCTACATTGACTAAAAAGCACTATACCCAGATAAATCTCCACATCTCCCTTCAAATATTCAAATCTAGAAATCATTCTGCAGCAACTAACTAGTGCAAAGCAGAAATAACCTTCCTTTATGCTCTACATCCCAACCTGAGCGTCACTGTAATAATAGTTTGTTTACGTGCCTGTCTATTCCCCATCCTATTAGAGACTGTGTCTTCTTTAAGAACAGAGGCATTTCTTAGTCATCTTGAGGTCACACAGTATAGTACATGACATATAGCTCATTCAATAAATGTTCCATGAATGGAAGACTGGATTTATTAATACTGTAGATATAAACTCCGACCACAGTTTAAATGTCTTTGGTAACATTCAAATATATTGAGTTATTTTTTAAGTGTGTGTGTGTGTGTGTGTGTGTGTGTGTGTATATATATATATATATATATATATATATATCTTTTTATTGATATCAGAGAGTAAGGGAGAGGGAGAGAGGAAGAGTGAGATAGAAACATCAATGATGAGAATCATGGATCAGCTGCCTCCTGCAGGCCCCCTACTGAGGATTGAGACCGTAACCCTGGCATGTGCCCTCGACTGGAATTGAACCTGGGACCCTTCAGTTCCCAGGCCAACACTCTATCCATGCTAGGGCAACAGGAAATGTATTGTAAAACCTTTTTTCTTCCTTTCTTAGGAGAGCCTTTAATTTGTATTTAAGTACCTGATATGTCATTACACCACCTTTTATATAAAATCTTAAGAGAAATGGCTATGTAAAAGAAATGTGCTGTAGTGAGACCAGTAGACTACATAGAAGCTATGTAAACTGGTTTTGGCTATTACCAGTGACTCTGGATAAAAGTCTTCTCTGGCTTTCAGTTTCCTCATGTATAAAAAAGAAAGAACTGTCAGGCCAGTGTGGCTCAGTGGTTGAGTGTCGATCTATGAACCAGGAGGTCACAGTTTGATTCCCGGTCAGGGTACATGCCCTGGTTTTGGGCTCTATCCCCCATAAAGGGCGTGCAGGAGGCAGCCGATCAATGATTCTGTTTCATCACTGATGTTTCTATCTCTCTCTCCCTCTCCCTTCCTCTCTGAAATCAATATTATACATACGTACACACACACACACACACACACACACACAATTTTTAATGAAAGAATTAAGGTACAATCTCTAAACACCTTTCAAATGTTTCAAATGTTAATATTCTAAAAAATATTTAATCTTTGAGTACTTCATTCATTAATGAACAAGCAAAGGTGAGAGGCATGTCACATGTTGAGTATGCCTAACATTTTGGTGCCTCTTTGCTAGAGATCAAACTAAATTATCCTATCAATGTTCATTTAGTACTTCAATTCCATGAACAAAATTGATTAAGTGCCATAAAAAAGAATCTCCTTTTGAAATCAGGAACTTGACCTTTCAATTCTAATAATTCAACACTTGAAGCAAACATTTAATCACACATCACAGGCACTGACATAATAAACAAACTATAAGCTTACCTGCCAGGAAACTGCTCCCAAAACAGCTGTTGCAAGAAGACTAAAAAAAACTAACTGCTCTGAAATTAAGCAAAAATGGCGCATCCCTTTGGATGCCATGATTCTATCAAGGCTGTTGTTATCTACTCTGTGGGTAAAATATACTTTATGGCAGTCATTTAATTTGGTATGAAATCCCCAAAGAGTTAAAAGAAATATAATATGACAAAACAACCAGAAAATTCCAAAAATGGAAAAACCTGGTATTACAAAATACCAGAGATGAGTGTCTCTAAGTTTAAATGCTGAAAGAATAAAAAATGCAAGTTCAATCATTCCAGTGAAAACAACTGAAAGTCTTCTGCAAATTCTTCCACGGTACAAAAAGGGTTTCCACCTCTCAGTCACTGAAAGTCCACTAAAATAAATGTCAAGGAAAGGATCAGTTATCAGGCAAATAAAAAAACATGCAAAAGCAACTGGATTTTGGGGAGTATCCAATGAGGAGAAAAATAGTAAGACTACAAAAATAACTAAGTTTAAAATAGCTAGAAAAGACTTCATTCTTAGGTCAATAATCAGCATGGCCAAAGCTACGACCAGTAAAATGACACTGAGAGATTTTTCCACCAACATAATTGTGCTGGCAATGGCAAATCCAACAAGTTCCAGAAATTCAACTGTGGTTAGTAAAGTGGGCCGATGGTGGACATAACCAGAAATTCTCTCCACCAAAGCACATAATATCCTTAATATTATAGAAGTTAGAAGCAAATATTTGGTTGATTCTTCTTTCACATCATTTTTAAAGAATGAATTATCAAGAAAGCATAGGAGGCCAAGCAAGAATCCAAACCAAAGATTGGAGAGACTTAAACTTGCTACTTCCATTGAAAAATAATAATAGAGGATGCTGGCAATTCCAAGAACAAAAAGACCAAGAATAAAAATTACCAAAAGTAAGTTATTTGCTGTTTTTTCCCATCTTACATAAAGACCTAAACATATAGCAACCAGTAAATTGATTCTGGCTAAATAGCCAAGATAACGCACTGAAGAATGCATGTTCACTTCTCTGTTTACTTCTTCCAGTCTTGTCATTGCTAAATAGAGGCAATGACTAAAGCAATAACGCAGTGATTTACACATGTAACTTGGCAATTTTGGCTTTCGCCCACGTTACAAAAATTAACTGCTTATATTTCATTCAGCAAATCCCATGCATCTGTAACTTCTATTTCAGCATTTTCTCTGGTCGAATTTTTGTTTAGTGATCTAAAAAGAAGAAAAAAATATTTCAATGTTACTTTTATATAATTTATCTTTCACATGTAGCTTCTTCATGAAAAATAATGAATAAGTGAGAAATAAAGCTTATTCTGAAACCCAGTTTAAAACGTGACTTGCAAGTATCTTAATGGTAACTGTCTCTGGCTGAAAAATTCAGCAGTTTATCCAAATCAAAAAGGCTGTGCTCTCCACTCATCATATACTAGGATTGTATGACTAAATGAATATCAATGAAACTTTTTCCAGAAGTGGTGAGGAATTTGCCTAGTTAATTCTTATCCAATATCTCTTTTTTCAACAACATGCAAATGTAAGACGTTCAGCTTAGCTTAGATTGTAGCAGATAGGTCTGGCACAATGAAAAGCTACTCAGATCTTAAATAGAATGAGGGACTTCATCATTATCTCCAATTTGGAAAATACCAGTATCCAATAACAGCAGTCATTGCTACCTGCCTAAAACCCTCTACATATTTTTACAAGGCAGTTCTAAAATGCAATAAAATCTTAATCTTTACATTGTTTAACAAACTTTCTAGAAGCAAAGTTTAACTATTAAAGTTATTCAGTCCCAAAAGCTGACCCATAATTCTCCTTGTACATTTACCTCTACTAAATTACTATGATTATCAAACCTACTTTCCAAATCTAAGTATTATCTCTGTAGCAAACCAATTCCTGACCTTTGCAGTCAAAATTGAAAAGTTGGAATGTTGTATTTACTGTAGTGTAAATTAAGAAATCATGGGGGGGGGGGGGCAATGGGGGGATAAGGACACATATGTAATACCTTAATCAATAAAGAAAGAACAAAAAGTTATCATAAGGATTATTTGTTGACGGGCCAGATAATTATTTCAACTTTAAGTGCCACACAAGATGCACTTAAAACTTGACAGTGGTCACAAAATGGTCTAACTAGGGAATTTTTCGATTTTTCTAGTATACTGTTTCAGAAGAACTGATGCATTGGCTCATGGCCACACTGAATATCCACAGAGAACTCAACCAGATAAAAACTCAAAAAGTAACTAGTTTGTGATCAGCTTATTTATAGTTTCTTTCTTTCTTTTCTTTTTGTGTTTTTGTTTGTTTGTTTTGGAGAGAGAGGAAGGGAAAGGGAGAGAGAAACATCTATGTCAGAGCAAACATGGGTCGGCTGCCTCCCATATGCCCCACAATGGGGATCCAGCCGAACCAGCAACCCCTCAGTGCATGGGACAACACCCAACCGAGTCACACCGGCCAGGACTTATTTATACTTTCCTTCTTAAAAGCAGGACACTAAAAACAGTCCCAACAGAAACATGAGATAACCTGGAATGAACCCTTAATTATCCATTTGACTGGAGAAGAATGTCACTGAGCGAGCACCTTAGGGTGTCTGGGAGTATTATTACCAACGAATTCATGCACCAGTGGGGTCCCTCGGCCTGGCCTGCGGGATTGGGCTGAAACGGGCTCTCCAACATCCCACAAGGGGTCCCTGATTGTGAGAGGGCGCAGGCCAGGCCGAGGGACCCCACCGGTGCACCATAAGGGCCAGGGAGGGAAAAGGAGGTTGGCCAGCCCGGGAGGGACCAGGGTAGGGCTCCGGGGCGTGTCCGGCCCATCTCACTCAGTCCTGATTGGCTGAACCCCAGCAGCAAGCTAACCTACTGGTCGGAGCATCTGCCCCCTGGTGGTCAGTGCACAGCATAGTGAGCAGCTGAGCGGCCTTAGTATATCATTAGCATATTACGCTTTGATTTGTTGAACGGCCAACCGGTCGACTGGACACTTAGCATATTAGGCTTTATTATATAGGATTTTACTTCTATATGTTCAACAAGTAGATTTTTTACAGCTAAATTGATTTAATTAAATAAGTTGTAACTGATTTTCCTCAATTATATTTTCATTCAATAATTTCTTAAGATTCTACACACATCTACAGAAAATATCTTCCACTAGTAAATTTTGGTTTTATCTTTCATTTAAGTATGAGAAACTGATAAAATATAGACAGCATTGCACTTTTTAACATTATTTCTCTGTGTTATACAATCATTCAGCAAATACATTGGAATATATATTCTCAAAGGGTAGATGGTACAGTCTGGACTCAGATGACTGAACACTGCTAAAGGAAAAAAGATCACACACTACACTAAATGGTTATCACTCAACCACAAGCATCCTTCCCTGGTTCCCTGGTCAAAACTCTCTCCCTTCTGTGATTTTCCAAACCTCTCTTCCCTATTCTCAATCTCTGACTGCATTCTCACCAGATGACTTTGTCTCCAACAGAATAATCAGAAGGGATTTCACTTAAGTTTCCAACACCACAAACCCACCTCTACCTACATCTCCTAATACAAGGAAAGAAGGGTGTCCCTTCCCGATCGGAGGCGAAACCTCTGACATGCTCTGTATCCCGTCCCCTCTGCCTCTTCCACAACTTCAGACTCTCCTCTTTCTTCAAACTCCCACTCTTCTCTTATTCATCAGAACTTAAACATTTGCAAGGCTCTTTTCAGAAACAACACCAAAACAAAACACACCCCGAAACAACAAAACAACAATCCTCACTCATTCCCATCTCCTCTTCTAAATTCAATCTTCTGTACTTTCGACAACTAATATTTGATTGTTTCACTTTTCACATCACTAAACTGTGGTTCCCACCCCACAATAAACTGCTCTGCCGAGTACTAAAATGGCCAATAAATTCCTAAATCTTTGGAGGAAAAGGAGCCACATACTAAACCTCACAAGCTCAGGGAGGCCTGCCTGCATGGTGGCCTTACAGACTCAGAGACCTAAAGTAACCATAGAGTATGGTCTGAAATTAAAACTTTTTAACTAAAAGCAGTTTATAGTGGGGTAGTCAAGTCCCAGGCTGGAATCTTCCCCGACAAAGGTCAATTTTCATCTTAACTAACCCCATCTACTGTCTTTTTGCATCTATGATAACATACCTTTGGAATGTCAAACTAATTTCCTTTTTGCGGACACCTCAAAGCACAGAGTGGAGACCACAAACCCTCTTATTGTTACTGAGTTAATTGTTGACTGTTAACTATCCTGTACCCCCCTATGCAAAAGAATTATGTGTCTATCATTTTACTTTTTTTATAATATATTTTATTGATTTTTTACAGAGAGGAAGGGAGAAAGATAGAGAGTTAGAAACATCAATCAGCTGCCTCCTGCACACTCCCTACTGGAGATGTGCCTGCAACCAAGGTACATGCCCTTGACCAAAATCGAACCCGGGACCTTTCAGTCCGCAGGCCAACACTCTATCCACTGAGCCAAACCGGTTACGGCTCATTTTACTTTTTATCCAATCCCAGAGGTTTCACCACTTTGCTTTCTCTTCCTTCCCTAATCTAACACCAACAGATTTCATGTAACCCACTTATGTCTTCTCTTTTGAGTGTAATGTATAAAATAAGGTGCAAGACTGCCATTTTCCGGAGCATCTTCTCAATCCGTTGAGATTTGCTTCCCAGCAATTGCCGACAATTTGGTTCAAGTAAACTCACAAAAATTCTCTACAGGTTCTAGTGTTTCTTACATTGACAAATTCAATGGGTACTCTTCACTCATATGCTCCACATTCTTTGAACAACCTTTGACTCTATTGACTCCTCTCGCCTTCTGAAACCTGTCCTTCCTTTAGCTTCCAAAGGCCAGTCTCCAGATTTTCTTCCTAAATTGATCTCTGCTTCTCATCTCTTCTCAATCCTACCTTCGGACATTCAATCCCAAGCCTAGACTTTTTTCCTACTACATATTTTCTATGAGCAATCTCATCTATTTCCATGTCTTCAAGTATTATCTCCCCCTACGTATACACATATTAATCTACCTGATACACTTAAAAGCATTAGCTCGATTCTGCAATAGAAGTAAAAATCGCGGGGGAAAAAAAGTAAACAGGTAAATAAAGTACAGCACATCCATATAATGGAATATATGCAGCCACTATTATAGACTAGAATCAACATGGCAGAATACTGCTTTTAAGTGGCTAATTTACAAAAGTCTTTTCCCTAACCTGATATTCTTCAAATGACAACTAGCCTGGATCAGAGAGTAAACAACAAAGCATTGCAATCCCTTCCAACTGGCCAGCCATCACTGGAGAATTCCCTGAGAGGCAGATAAAAATGGAGCGCATGGGAAACCTGACGGGCCCGAGTCTGTTTTATGCTACTCGGAGCCTCCTCTCTCCTTCACCTCCCACACTGAATCCTTCCCCCGTACCGACCACTCTTCTTCCTGCACACGTCTTACACGTTCCCACTGTCCAAGGTCATGGTCCCACTTCTGGTCACCGTCAACTCCTACTTGACCTGTATCCACTCTCGCCCTTCTCTGCAACATGTGTCCTCTTTAAAACCAAAATTTGTCACATCACCTGCTATGTAAAACCCTCCGATGGCTTCCCATCACCCTTAGTAATAAAGTCTCAACTCCTTAAAACACCCTGTAAGGCTCTCTGCATTGGAAGTGAATAAATCTCCTGTCTTGTTGCAGAAGACCACAGAAATACCAAGCACGCTTCCTAGAGAAAGGGAGGGACGCTGTTTATTAACACTAGTGGACTCCGGGGATAATTTCCAAATCAGAGTGAAGAAATACGCAGAGGGCTTCATGTTTTATAACCTTCTGGGGTCTTTGTCTTGCAGATATGGTCCCGCCCCCTTTCATGGGCTTATAGGAAGGCCCCCAGGTGTTGGGGGTCCCCCAGCCAAATCCGATTATCTGTCCTGGGGGCCAGGGATAATGACCCCACCCTCCACCCCCCAGGGCAGCGCATTGTTCAGTTTTTATGGCCTGACACACCTTGCAAGACCAGTTTCCTCCTCATTGTGTGCATCCTCAAGAACTTTGTACCCTAGCCTTACTGATCTTCCCACTTTATCATTGCTATTCCCTCTCCAGACTCACTCCCTTCCCTCCTAATAGCACCAGGGCGGTCCTCACCCCTGGCTTACCCCTCCTCCTCATGTCTCAGCCTAAATCATTTTCTTAGGAAGACTACAGGTGTATGGTCCCTGACCCAGGTGTATGGTTCCTTTACGTCAGTGGTTCTCAACCTTCCTAATGCCTCGACCCTTTAATACAGTTCCTCATGTTGTGGTGACCCCCAATTTCATTGTTACAAATTGAACATAATTAAAGCATAGTGATCAATCACAAAAACAATATGTAATTATATGTGTTTTCCGATGGTCTTAGGCGACCCCTGTGAAAGGGTCGTTGGACCCCCAAAGGGGGCGCGACCCACAGGTTGAGAACCACTGCTATACCGCCTCTAAAACAGGGCAATACTGACCATCACTTGTCTGCATTTCCCACGAGATCACAAAGTCTCTCAAAATTTGTCGTCAGTCCTATATGCCCAATGTCTTGCACAGAGTCTGGAACCAAGTAGATATCGTTAAAGAAACAAAGACGAATCCAGAAATAACTGTATTTAACAACACTGACAGTTAGGGACCACTGACTACACAGAGAAAATAAACACGACACCTGCTATCTCACCGCTAGTGGTAGAGCTAAGGGATTCCATGAATTTCTGGATGGTTTCTCGGCCCTACTCCAACCTTCACTCACTCCATTCAAATTCCTGTAAATCAGTGAATTCTCCCCCAAACCCTACCCTCGGGGAATGGCTCCCGGACACGCCCGTCACTGGCGGCATCACTTCAGGAACCACTTCAGCTCCGTCTAGGGGCGGGGCGGAGTTAAAGGGGACCGAGAGCAGCCAGGCTCCGGGCCCCTCAATTCACACAACTCTTCCCGGAGAGCGCGGGAGCCCCGGGAGGACCGCACCCCCAGCAACAGGCTGCGACTGCGGTTCCCCAGCATCCCGCCCGCTCCAGCGTGGGCGAGGGCGGGAAGCCCGCGATCTCTGCTGAGGAGGTTGGGGGGGAAGGCGAACAAGACCCGGGAGCCCCCGCTGA